TAAGGCCAGGAGCCCCTAGTAGCTTCTTGTTACTAGTAGTAAGAATGTAGCGATGCCGGGAGCCCCTAGTAGCGTCCTTTGTCGCTATTTTTCATTCACTCCACGTCGCTGCCAGGGAAGTTTCCAAGGAGCTGGGCCGTTTACACAGAGCTGTCCGGCTGGTCTCGGAAACAAGGAGCGATGGCCGGCTCCCCCCTCCCTACTTGATTAAGTAAGTAGACGCGCACTTAATTAAGTAAGGGAGGGGTAGCTAGTACCTCCAAGTAAGCTACTACTAAGGACGCAAGATAGCTCACGTTAATGATTTGATTCCTAGATTTTTAGGGAAACTTAACAAATAGCAATGGCCTCCAAACCAAGAGCGATGGCCTCCAACCTACTAGCGATGGCCTCCAGGAATAGATCCACGCAAAAACTTTTCCGTTAGTGTCGAAAGCATCATCAGGACAGCTACTCCACTGCAAGCGCTATTGCACTGATGTTGTTCTTTGCTAGAATCACCGATCTCAGCAGCTTGGCAAGATACCATAGTGTCCATGGAGGCCATCGCTTTTAGGTTGGAAGCTATTCACGAAAGCTAGCATGCTAGCTGAGTTCTTCTTTGCTTTAGCAATGTTGTGGTGGGAGGGGCTGCGTGCCTTAAAGATTGATATATCAAGCTAACCCCCCCCCCCCGCGGTTCAACTCCCAGCTGCGCCGCTTCGCTTATTGTGGTGGTGCATACCACCATTCCACTGAATGAATTGCGTGATAGCTCTGCTGGTGTTCAGACAGCGGCAAGGTGTGCATATGTTAGTGCAATTGTTTGCATCTACAATCCTTGGTCAAGGCATGTCCTACGGTGAGCACGCTCCATTTCACTTCCATGCTACGTCGTTCCTTCAGCCTCCGTCCAGGGTTGGCATCGTTTTGCTGGTTCGAGTGGCTCATTCAATGCAGAAGTTAACAAACTGATAGGTATAATGATAATGAGTTGCGTGTATATTTGAGATCATTTGAGGTAGTTCACGCTTTGCTACTTGTTGCGGCTTGGTGCTGCTGCTGCTGTTGCTGACGATGCTGCTTGCTGCTTGCTGCCGGTGGTGCTGCTGCTGCTGCTGCTGCGGCTTGGTGCTGCGCTGCTGCTGCGTGGTGCTGCTGGCTGGCTGCTTGGCGGTTGCTGCTGGCTGCTGGCTGCAGGCGGCTGCTTCTGCTGCTGCTGCTGGCTGCTGCTTGCTGCATAGGACTTGTACTTCACCCTTACAAGTTGTTTACCCTATGTCTAACCTAGTGCATGCACAAGCGGGTGGTAAATTTACTCCCAAGGCTTGCTATAACCATACACAGGCTATTTCCTCAAGACACTCTATTCCTGATACCTTTTACATCCTTTTTACCAGTGCTTATCCTACACTACGGACGCCCTAGTGTATGCACAGTCCTTGTGATGCTTACCCCTCGTTCCGGCTCAAGGCATACATAAGCGGGAGGTAAATTTACCCCCCAGATTTGCCATAACCATAAGCCAGCTATTTCCTCAAGACACTCTGCTCCTTATACCTTTTACCAGTGCTTATCCTACACTACGGACGCCCTAGTGTTTGCACAGTCCTTGTGATGCCAGAAATGCTTACCCCTCAAGGCATACAAAAGCGGAGGGTAAATTTACCCCCCAGATTTGCCGATCACGCATCTTCGTGCCTGCCAACGAGTGCACCCGGGTTGTTCCAATGTACCCTTCCCAGTCCCAGTCAGCGATGTCACATTTACATTCTTTAGCGCAAAGTATGTACATAGCAACCTTCCTCCCAGAACATGTACTCACTACATGCTTTGCCGACTATGTGACTAGTACATCCGGTGCGATTCGGCTAGCTTTCGACCTCCTCCCCCTGGCCTCAAGTAGGTTGGAGTGTTCCGTGGACATACTACAGTGTTCTTTTTTAAAGTGTGCGTTTTTTCCCGCTGGCAATTCGAAAATAGATTCTTTCACCGAGCACTAGGTATTTTGTCCACATGGGCATCAGCATTTCTCTTGGTTTGCGCCCGAATGCTCAGAGAACTGATGTTGTTTTTGGCCGCTCTTGTCTTCCTTATTTTGGCCTTTGCCACATCCACTTGCACGCTACTCGTCCGCATATTTTGAGATTCCATTGTGGATGCATCAGGATGTAGCAATGGCCTCCAACCTAATAGCGATGGCCTCCAACCTAGTAGCGTCCTTGCTCCTAGTAGAAATGCCCTTTGTTACTGGTAGCTTCTTGTTACTAGTAGTATGGCCAGGAGCTACTAGTAGCGTCCTTGCTACTAGTAGCGATGGCCTCCCTTATCCAAGGCTCAAAGACAGCTTTCAAGATTTTTCACGCGCTGATCGTGCAATGCTTTCACTCTCAGCAGCTTGGCTCGATGTGCGTGACTGCCAAGAACCTAATAGCAAACGTGTCTTCCCTTTGCGTCCTTTTCTGTTTTCTTTGTTTCTAATAGCGATGGCTTTGGACCTCGTAGTGATGGCCTCCAGAGGAACAAGGAAGGAGCAAGAGATTTCATTCAACACTTGCGGGTGCTGAAATTGAATTCAAGACACATCAGTCAAACGATGTTTAGATATGTTGAATTTTGTGGAGAAGTTTAAGGCATGCGGCGGTCTCACGTGTTCACGAAGTGGCTTCGCTACTAGTAACAAGTGCATTACTACCAGTAACAAGAAGCTACTAGGGCATCTCTTTATCTTGTTACTTGTAGTAATGACCTTTTTACCAGTAGCTTCTTGCCCCAGGAAGTGGCTTTGGGACTTTATCCCAGCAGCAGCTTCGAGCAGTTGGAAGAAATGGGGACACCTCTGATGCTTGCTGTGAGTACCTTGAGCGAAGCGGAAGTCACGACGCGCGCTGAAGCTATCGGACGTAGAAAGGGTTTGGAGAAGTGTCCTTGATTGAAGAACATGTTTTCTTTTCTTGTTGCTTGCCGCTCCTACTTAGTTAAGTAGGCGCCTACTTAATTAAGTAAAGGAGAGTAAGCTACTAGGAACTTTTTTGCTCCTGATAGCAGACACAAAGAGTGCGTCCCCACAGCCATGCAGTGAGACGGCAGCATTGGGGTTCTGAGGTGTTTTTATCCTGATTTCTTTGGCGCCGTGACGGAGATTATTTACACCCGCCGATTTCTCCGTTGATTTTGTTCTTCCTGTGTCCAGGTGTTTTTGCTGAACCTCTTGGTGGCCCAGTTGAACAGCGCATATCAAGCTGTTTTTGAAGCCACTCGAGTTGAAATACAAATTGCGGAGCGCTTGTTTTTTTTGTCTTATTTTGTTTATTCAGCCCCGAGGGGTAGGCTGCAGAAGTAGCTATGTAGCTAGGTAGCTAGTAGAGGTAGCTAGTACCTACCAGTAAGCTACTACTTAGGACGCCGGATAGCTCACGCTTCTTCAAGGAAGCTCCCCCCGCCCCAAAGGTGGCAAGGGAAGCTTTTAAGGTTGGAGGCTTTGGGCCGATGGGCTTTTAACCAGGCTTGATAGTAGATGCCCTTTGCTCCTAGTAGCGAACATTGCTCCTAGTAGCGATGCCAGGAGCTCCTAGTAGCGTCCTTGCTCCTAGTAGCGATGCCAGGAGCCCCTAGTAGCGTTCTTGTTCCTAGTAGGGATGCCCTTTGTTGGAGGCCATCGCTATTAGGTTGGAGAGCATGTGGGCTGATCAGTCACTGTTCACCTTGAGTGGGCTTGCCTGTTCACTTCGTCACTTCGTCCAAGGACATGGTTGGCTTTGCGCGACTCAACAGAGGTTCGGAACACGCTTCCGCAGAGTTTAGATTGAAAAGAACAGAGAAGCTGAGTTTGAATGTGAATGTAAGACTTACGCTGTAAGCTGCTTGAAGGGTTTCCCAGCATGTTCAAGTGTATCTTTGACAAGCCTGCAATCAATGTGGAGAGGAACAAGTCAGTTTGATGACTTTCATCACAAGAAAAACCATTGCATGCTGCAGGGAAGATCACACTGGATACGCCTCTTGGGCAAAGAGTGAAAGGCGTGAAAGACTTGATGCACAATCTAAATTTGTTTCATTTGTGCTCAAGGACGTACTTTCAACAGAACAATCCTTTCTTTGGACCATTAATTCTTTCGTTTTGTTCTACCCTTCAAGTGAGGGTCTCTGCCGCCTGGCGTGCTCCACGTTTGTGTTGGGCTGGGAGAGTGGTGCGCGCTGGACTTTTACAGGTGCGTGCGAACGAAAGACCCCCGTTGGTTGGCAGCTCCGGCTGTAGAAAACATGCCAGGTCTCATGCGGGAGCACTTGGCAGAAGTAAATGCCACCTTTACACCTTGCCACTGTTCCTTTCGTTATGTGCAAATTTGGGGCGTTCAGGCCCAGTCTTTTTCTTTCCTTGTGTTTTCTTGCGGATGTGTTTTTTGTTTAAAGAGAGTTCCTCTATGTTTTGTGTGCCGACTTTTCTTGTTTAAGTGACCTTCGCTGAGAGCTTGAAAGCATGGTTTCGCCCGCCCACTTCCAACCAAGGGTGGCTTCTGTATCGCAACGTCGATGGGGTCACTTTGTGGACTGAAAATGAACACGCAGCCAGACGACAAACAAGACCAACAGAAAACGCTTCAAATTGCAAGAAGAGCAAGGAAAAGAAATGACTCATGAGTTGTTTTTTACATGCATTACTGTCACGGGTGAACCAAATTATTCTTATGTCGCCTACTCGAGCGTTCTCAAGAAAAGCAGGAGAGTTTTCACTTTGAAGAGCGCATGGAGTTCAATGAGGGTTCTTGAGCAGCAAAACATTGGCAAACATTAAACGGAAAGGCAGACGTGCTCGGCAAGAAATGCATGAAAATAGAAAACTAATTGGAAAACAATCGAATAAGAAGAAAACATGAGAAGAAAACAAGAGTGTTGTTTTCGAAAAAAATGTGTTGTTTGCCTTGAGCCTCTTGAGGTGACATTGGTTTGGCTGGCGGGATTCAGATCTTGGAGCCTGCAAACCTCAATCCCACCAATGTCCACTCCCGAGACATTTGAAAGTCACAAACGAGAAGATAGTTTTTCAAGAGTTTATTGGTGTTTTTTTTGTTTTGTGTTAAAGCTCTACACTTATTAATGTTATAGAAAAAGAGACTTTAAGGAACCTACTAGAGATGGCCTCCAACCTACTAGCGATGGCCCCCATAAAGAGAGTGTATATTATGTATTGTTTGTGTTTATTTTAAACCTAGCTAGACTTTGAGACCTGTCTTTTTTCCTTCCTCCTTTTTCGGGAAATCCTTCTCAGGTGGACACAATCAGGAGATATGGTGGCTCCACTTCACCAGACATGCCCTGGCCAGAGGAGACGGGAGATTTCAGCAGGGAAGGAGAGAAGAGATGGACGTCCTTTTAAGAGGCCGCTCTGGCCCCCGACCTACTAGCGATGGCCTCCAACCTAATAGCTGTCCAAATAACAAAGTCCTTTCATGTTTTGTCCTTGTTCTTTTCTGTTGGTCTTTTTGAGAAGAGGTTAGAGGAGAGAAGAGAGAAGAGAGAAGAGTTGTTGTGATCTTGGTAGTCTTGTGAGGAGCACGACGATGATGAAGACTGTCGCATCGAACGCTTGGAAAAGATCATGTCAAGAGCCATGAAGAAGATGGACAAGACACCAAGCTGCAAAATGTCCAGCAGTGGGCCCTTGAAACAGAATTGGAAGTTGTTGCAAGAACCAACCGCTTCTCTTAGATTCTCTCACAAGCGGCTTCCGATCGGTCGGCGTTCTCCTTCCGCTTCGAATCTTCTTTGGGGCACCAGAGTCACGGTAGTAAGGCACCTGTTACTACTAGCGTCCTTGTTACTAGTAGTAAGGCACTTGTTCCTAATAGCAAACATTGTTACTACCAGTAAGGCACCTGTTACTAGTAGTTTCTTGTTACTACTAGTAAGGCACTTGTTACTACTAGCGTGGCACCAGAGTCACGGTAGTTTACAAATCGGCTAAACTCGCTGCGTTTGGAGAAGGGCCAACCCAAACCAAGCGTTTGAATTTCTGTACATGTTGAACTCGCAAACAGATGACAGCTTAGTAACAAGAAGCTACTAGGAACAAGTGCATCGCTTCTAGTAACAGGTGCCTTACTAGTAGTAACAAGAAAGCTAATAGAAACAAGTGCCTTACTAGTAGTAACAGGTGCCTTACTAGTAGTAACAAGAAGCTAATTACTAGGAACAAGTGCCTCACTAGTAGTAAGAATTGTAATTACTAGCTTCTTGTTAGTAAGGCACTTGTTTCTACTAACACCTTTCTCTTCTATGTTCTTTCGTTTTCAGGAACGGAACCCGTTTGGGACCTTCCTCCCAAGGCGCGAGGTATGTGACTGTAGCGAAGTGCTAAAAGAAAGCGTTCTTCGATTCAGACCAGATAAGACCTGTCTTCCTGTTCTTCCTTTGCTCCCAGTAGCTTCTTTTTCCTAGTAGTAAGGCCAGGAGCTACTAGTAGCTTCTTGCTCCTAGTAGCGATGCCTTTTGTTACCAGTAGCTTTCGACCATAAGATCTGTCTTCCTTTGTTGCATGTGTCCGTCTTTTTTTTCTTTCGACTATAGACCTTTCTTCCTAACCTAATAGCGATGGCCTCCAATCTAGTAGCAAACTGTATTGGACCTGTCTTCCTTTCCTTCTTCGCTCGCTCATTCGTTTGTCCGTTCGTTCGTCCGTTGCTCTTTTTGCTTCCTTAATATCTTTTTCTTTTGACCTTCAAACCTTCTCTTTGTGCTTTCTTGTTATCTTTGTTTCCGCAGAGTTGCCTTTTGAGACGTGTCGTTGTGGAGGCTCCAGTGCATCATCCGGGATGAGCAGCCAGAGCAGCCATGATAGCCAGCATGAGTAGAGAAGCCCGCAGGAAGCAAGGAAACGATGACTTGCATTGTCCTTTTCAGAAAATGACATTAAACAGTTTGGGAGACGAAGATATCCTTCGTCTCGCTTACATGTATCGTCGTATGCATTGTTGCACTGTTTCAATGGCTGTGCAGAAGCTGACAAGAGCTTTTTGCATCGCCTTCCAGTTCGCCAGTTCCGAATTGCCAGTTCTGTGGGTCACAAGCTGCCCAGAGAAGCTGGCGAGCGCCAAATGCGCGTCTTGCAAGCTGTAAGCTTGTTATGGTGAGAAAGCAAAGAGTTTTTCTTCTATTGGAGGGTGGGTAGGCGCTGCAGTTGCTTAACTAAGCCTTTTCAAAGTAGAGGCTCTACTAGCTGAGGGCAGGGAGCGTCCTCGAAGAAACCTGAGCCTTTATGATTTGGTTCCCAGATGCCCTTTGCTCCTAGTAGCTTCTTGCTCCTAGTAGTAAGGCCAGGAGCCCCTAGTAGCGTTCTTGTTCCGTTCTTTCTTTTATGTTCTTCCTCTTTCAATCTTCAGGCCTTTCTTCCATTTCTTGTCATGTGGTTTCCTTTTCTTTCTTCAGATGGTTCCTTTTGATGTTCATGATTTGCTTTCTGCAGCACAAGCCTCGGAAAATTGGATGGAGGAATGACCTCCAAGACTAAAAGCAGACCTAAGGCAGGCCTCTGATAAAGCATTCGAAGAGAGAAAAATGAAAAAGATCGTTAAAAACATGGGAACAGGAAAGACAAATCTATGGACAATGATGGATCATTGCTTCTTGAGTAGCATTTTTGGGCTCAAGTGTGAAGATTGCAAGCATTTGCAGAGCTATGGTCATCGATGTTATTGTGCGCAACAAGTCTGACTGGCGTGCTCTTCGGGTCTGTCAGCCCGATGTGTGGGTGCCGAAGAATCAGCAAAGAACATGTAAAGTGACACCTGGCGGGTGGGTGGACATTGCCTATTGTGACCGGAAAGGTGTTGCATGGGAGACAACTTGTTGCATTCCACATAGCGAATGAAGATGACCAGAGGGAGGCATTTAAGAACTGAGCTGCAACTTTTAAGGCTCGTCATGGTGTGGCGGGGCCTTGCAGAAACCCCAGCACCTTTGTTCAGTTTGTAGCTGACGTGCTAGACTTACCTCTCGCCTCTATGGCTCGATGAGAAAAGTCTGTTGCAGCTTTGCAACAGTGCGGTCGTTATACTCAAATCCGTTTGACATGGCGGAGGCAACTTAACCCGATAGCCCACATACCCAACTTTTTGAACGCCTTCATTATAGCAAGAGAACTGCAACTGTCATAGTTGATGCTACTCTCACCACTTGATTTGACCTGTAGGCATTTCTGCCTCAAGGCTGTATAGAGTCTTTCAATCTCGGTTTTGTCAGTGTTGCCTTTTCGCAATGGGGAACGGTCATGCACCTGCCACAAACATGCACTACAGACACAAAGCAACAGAGGCACCGAAGGCTCCCGACGTTCAAAAAAAGCATGTGCAAAAGTGAAAAAACGGCTCCAACTTTACCATTGCGTTTTGTTCCAACTAGGAGCAAGGACGCTACTAGGAGGAAGGACCGTACGTTCGGGGCTCCTGGCATCGCTACTAGTAACAAGGACGCTACTAGTAAAGACGGTTTGAACTTGAGTGTTTTGTCCTACTCACCAATTTTGCTGCCTGGATTTGTGCTTGGCATGCCCGAAGTTGATGAGGCACCAAGCGCCCTGCAGTTTCGTCAGACGAGTGAATGTCCATTGAGGGCCATGGCTACTAGGATAGAGGAGGCCATCGCTACTAGGTTGGAGGCTGTTGCTATTAGGTTGAATGTCTACATTTTGAAGGCTTTTCGACTCAACAAACCCTCCATACCTCTAGACTAGTCAAAAGGTCTTAGTTTTAACTTCCCTTTTTTCTGGCAAGGAGCCTGTCTGGGGATTGGCGAGGGAAGACTTCGATCCTTGTCCGCGATGAATGAAGCAAGTGGTCTTCGGATGTTGCTTGACTTTATATAGCCCTCTCCTACTTAATTAAGTAGGCGCTTACTTATTTAAGTAAGGGAGGAAGCTACTAGCTACTTAAACTACATACTGAATGGAGGATAGCTCACACGAATCATTTGGTGTCTAGATCTTTAGGGAAACCTGTATGAACACACCTGTCTTTGCGCTTGTATCTATACACTGACTTTAGTGGGCGGTTGGGCTCGAACCTATCGGATTGCACCAAGGGCTTGTAGCAACGGGTAGTCAAGCCAACCTTCCAAGAGATGACCGAACACACCATGTTTTTTGTTTTGAAACACCAATCCAGCGTTTCTTCAAGACACATCGGAGAACTTTCCTTCATCCTGAGTCTTCCTTGTGGACAAAACAGCAAACCAAACTCATTGAATGAAATAAAAGAAAATGACATTCTAGGAGCAAGGACGCTACTAGGGACTCCTGGCCTTGCTACTAGGAGCAAGCATGCTACTAGGGGCTCCTGGCATCGCTACTAGGAGCAAGGACGCTACTAAAGGAACCTCTTAACTACTAGCGATGACCTCCAACCGACTAGCGAGGGCGTCCAACAGACCACGTCACTGGGCCCTTTGCTCCTAGTAGCGTCCTTGTTGTGACCGTCTGAGGATGGTAGTGAGTTTGGACCAGAGTATCTGAGCTTCAACGAGGGCCAGGACCGTACCTGTGTCGCACGTTAAAGAGATGAAAACGGTGTGTTGTTTTCAATTATTTCCCTTACATTGTGCTGTTTCTCCGTCCGGTTTTTTCTTCGACTTGTAAGAGAAAGTCCAAGACCAAAAGACTTTCAATAGCGATGTGGACGATCCTCTAGAAAGATTTGGAACTTCTCGATTTCAACAAAGCCTAGTAACGAGTGCATCGCTAGTAGTAACAGGTGCCTTACTGGTAGTAACAAGTGCCACGCTACTAGAAACAAGTGCCTTACTACTAGTAACAAGTTACGAATTTACTTCTCGATTTCAACAAAGTAGCTTCTTGTTACTACTAGTAAGGCACCTGTTACTACTAGCGTGGCACTTGTTACTAGTAACGAGCTATTAGTGGAACTTCTTTAGGCCTTCTCGCGTCTTTCTGTCTTTGGAGGCCATCGCTCTTAGGTTGAAGACCATCGCTTCTCGAGTCTTTTCCAAATTTGTTTCTTTCGGAGTGCCTTCTGCGCGAAGTCTAGTTTTCGAAGGGAGTGTCGCCGAAAGGAGCTCGGGATTCTCAGCAAAGAGACGGATGGATGGGCATTGGGCGTGCTCAAAAAGGGCACCGAGCTGGTTCAGGTGGGAGAGATAGGTAGAAGAAATAGGGAGAGAAGTCTCTGAAAAAGATCACCTCCGCCTAATAGTGATGGCCTCCAACTGTGTAGGGCCTTGTGGTGATTAAAACCTAGTCCTGACTTAGCGGTCGGTAGCAGTAGCAAGAGTAGCGACACATCCAGGGCTTTCTGACCGCACCACTTTGCAGGGTTGGTTTCCTCCTGACTTCTGGAGCAGCAAAGGCGATTTCGACGGGGCAAGCGATGCACTTGTTACTAGTAGCTTCTGAGCTTCTTGTTACTCCTAGTAAGGCACTTGTTCCTAGAAGCGATGCACTTGTTCCTAGTATCGAATGAAAGATTACTTGTAAAGAATAGATAAAGAAGGCTTTGTGAAGGCAAGCAGTTTGACAAGAAAGCCAAATCAGGTCTTGCATTTTGCACGCTTAACTTTTGCACTACAAAGCATTAAAAGCTTTGGGTCGGAAATTCGAGATTGGCCTTTACTCATGAGACAGAAGGCATTCTCTCGAAAGGGGCAATGTTAATAACTTAGGGAATGCACCCGGCCCAAGACATCTATATAGAACTAGTAGCACAGGACGCTACTAGGGACTCCTGGCATCGCTACTAGTAACCAGGGCCTTACTACTAGGAGCAAGAAGCTAGTAGAAACATGTAGAAACAATAAGCTATATAGTCCTGTTATGTCCTTTTCAACTTTAGACCCTTTAGACTCGACACTTCCTCCAGACCATCCTTGTCTTGAACTCTTCGATTCGTGTTTTTGCCGACCTCTTGCATAGCAAGTAGGCGCCTACCACCTACTGCCTACTAAAGATACCTAAAATTGTAAGCTGGTATACCTACTGGACGCAGGATAGCTCATGCTTCTTCAAGGGAGCTTCCTTGAAGAAGCGATGGCCTCCACCCTTGTTGTGATGGCCTCCAACCTAAGAGCAATTGCTTCCAAGATGTTGAGGAAAACCTTCACTATTTTTGTGCTTCTCGCAGAGGCTCTTTGGCTCCTCCAAGGAGCTCTGGACTTCATCAAGCACACCAGGCGCCCAGAACATGGGATGTGGGCGGACGTGGGAGTTTCCAAGGGCATCTAGTAGCGTCCTTGCTCCTAGTAGCGATGCCCCTTGTTATTAGTAGCTTCTTGTTACTAGTAGTAAGGCACTTGTTACTAGAAGAGATGCACTTGTTCCTACTAGCTTCTTGTTAGTAAGGCCAGGAGCTACTAGTGGCGTTTGGACAGGAGAAGAAGGCAAAGAATGGCAAAGGATCGAAAGGAGCGAAAGGAGAAGGGGCTGAGGCTGAAGAGGAGTCCACTACCCTTGCAGATGGTGTCGTGAAGGCGTGGATGTGAAAAATGTCATGCTCAGTTGTTCCTAGTAGCGTGGCACTTGTTACTACTAGCGTCCTTGTTACTACTAGTAAGGCCAGGAGCCCCTAGTAGCTTCTTGTTACTAATGTTCAGTTGTTCCTAGTGGCGAACCTTGTTACTACTAGCTTCTTGTTACTAGTAGTAAGGCACCTGTTACTACTAGCGTGGCACCTGTTACTAGAAGCTTCGTGTTACTAAAACAAAGCGGGGTCAGTGTTTGTTACTAGTAAGGCACTTGTTACTAGTAGCGATGCACTTTGCTCCTAGTAGCGTCCGATCGCTCCTAGTAAGGCCAGGAGCCCCGAACGTAGCGTCCGATCGCTCCTAGGAGAGAAAGCACACAAGAGCACACTGCTTTATTCGTCGCTTCGCACCGAAGAGCCCACAGAGTTTACACGATGAGCCAGCATGTAGTAACAAGAAGCTACTAAGAACAAGTGCCACGCTAGTAGTAACAGGTGCCTTACTAGTAGTAACAAGAAGCTACTAAGTATAAGGAGCCCCGTTCGTAGCGTTGCTCCTAGTAGCGATGCCAGGAGCCCCTGGTAGCGTTCTTGCTCCTACCAGTTCTGGCAGGGTACTTCCAATACCTTACCGAAGACCCGGTTCACGAGCATTTTCTTTGCAACATGGCAGTCTCTCACTGGCCAAACGACCCCGGCAGCTGACAAAATGAGACGGTAGGCGTGCCACATATTGATCATACAAGCTAAACATTGTGGAAGAATGTTTCCAAACAATAGCACATGCGGTTAAACATGTGTCCTTGTGATAGAGGTTTAAGAAATGAAGGCATCCACCAAAGCTGTCTTGGTTGCAGAATAGTCTTGAGAAGACGAAATGCTAAGCAAGCTTCATGGCAAACCACCAGGCATCCATTGCACTTTGGAATATTGTTTGCCCCACCCTAACTCTGGAGTGGGGGCATAGTCAAGCTAAAGGTCTTGTCGGGGTAGACCAAAAGCTATACACGTATGAGATGCAAATTAGCAAACAACAGTAACAAGAAGCTACTAGGGGCTCCTGGCCATACTACCAGTAACAAGAAGCTATTAGAAACAAGAATTAGAATTCAATCTAATTAGAATTGAATTAGAATTGGAACAAGAACGCTACTAGGAGCTTTTCTAATAGGGGCTCCTGGCATCGCTACTAGGAGCAAGGACGCAACACTGGCTCTTGAGCCAAAATGGCAGCGTCCACCACCCCAAACCAAGGCTACGAGCAATGGCCTCCACCCTACTAGTTCGCAACAATTTGAAACAGCCACCATTCGTCCCAAGATTTCCCAATACCCGGCGAAGGACAAATAATGAGGTCTCTTCGGGGTACTTTTGCAAATAAAAGAAGAACTGTTTTGAAGATCAAGCATTCCAAGCCCGGCACTCATCAGCACACATATAATATTACAAAGACGAGCACGCATGCAAGGTAACATACTTGAACACATGCTGCACACGTCCCAAAAGCGGAATGTTCAAGCCCAAAAGCTTTGCTTAAGCAACCACAGGAAAATTTCAGCCAAGGATTGCGTTCAACATCATGTTCTGCCTCCA